GTTAAATTATGCATATTTTCCAAATTCAGATGTATATTTTAAGTCTCTGTGTACACCTGGTGAGAAACAGTATTTCTTTTTATCATGGAAGTACCCAGGGAAATGACAACAAATGAAATCTTGAAAGTTTCAAACAAATTATACCACAGCTAATCAAACATAGCTTAAAATCACTCAAATTCAGTTTATTTTGCAGAATTTGAGCTAAAATAGTGTGGTTGTAGCTGAGAGTCATTCTCTACACATATCAATGCTATTACAGTCAACTGTGTTTGTTAGCAAATCATCTCAAAACCAACYGGACACATTTTAATGAATCTCTCAGAATGTTCATCTACAACTGGTTAACTTTTCGTATCACCCTCATTAAAGATGGCTGCCACAGCCAGTTGTAATGAGCAAACACTATGGCTATAACTCAGTCAGTTTTATAGAAATTGATTTGAGCCTTTGCAAGATCTGTCACAATACTGCATGAAACTGCAGCATCACTTTACAAAGATTCACCACAGTTTGAGGTAAAGCTGTCAAAAGTTTTACACACTCCACCTCTGTCATCTCATTCCCATCATGCACCTGCAGTATAAAGCTGGCGCATGTTTTTTCCTGCTCCCACTGAAGTGGGTCAGTCAACCCTGCAGGAGGATCCGATCCTCTGCCCTTAGTCAGTACTAATCGATTCTGCCTTGTTATGAGTAACTCTAGCCTGACGTCCTCACGGCTAAATTAAGAGAGTCTTATAAACCAAAGGGTTTTTTATTTTAACTTTTTTTTTTACATTTTGCCCTTAAGGATTAATCAACTGTGTGTTTGAGCTGCAGGGAGACAGAACTGGAACAGATCCATCATTTTCTTGGTGGGAAGTTCTAAAAAAGTGTTTTTGAGCTTATAGTTTAAAAGTTTGCAGCTGGACAACAAAAAGGGCTTTAATGTGAGTCAGTTTTGTGTTCATATGAAGATCTGTGTGTGTGTGTGTGTGTGTGTGTGTGTGTGTGTGTGTGTG